GACCATGGCTTGCAATCTATCAGCTTCTGACTGACCGGTGAGTCTATTGCTTGCCGTTTCATGGACGGCATCTACAGGATATTCAGCCATTGTATCATGAATTCTTACCTCTTCATGCTCATGTTGCACATCAAGTCGATCACTGGCGTGCTCATTTCCATATTCCCCTTCGTCGTCTCCTTCTTCCATGTCGGTCATTGGACGATATGATTCATCACTATCTTCATCCAAATTTTCACTTCCATTCCACAATCCAGGCACATCCCAATCATATCCTCTATCATCTCCCAAATTACAAGGAACAACATCTGACCCTAACGGCATGAGAGATGCTATATCATGACCAATATGACCAAAGTAGGGGGTGGAGGGTGGGAAGACAATGGATTCGAGATAACGGATTATGTGGGGACTTATCGATTGGATAATGTGGGCCAACAATCACGTGGAGAAAATCTTGAGTATTGGAAAAAAAAAACGTGACTTGCGTGTGTGTGGTGATTTGGAGTTGAAAAAACAAAGTGAAAATTATTAAGTTGGTGGTTGGTGGGTTGGTGGGAAATTTATTATATCATAAATGCATTTATTATGAAATGAGGGCAATTTAGTCAATTTACATGGTAAAATAAGGGGAGGGGTCAGAAAACAGAGGTGGAGGGGTCATGAATAAGTAAAAATCAAAAGGGGGTCAAAAATCCAGAGTGGTTATTGAAAGGGGTCAAAAATCCCAATTTCCCTGATAATTTGTGGTAGAACCCTAAAACTATATTTATTGTTATTATTATTTAAACTCTATTTCATTTCATTTTTATTTAGTAAATATATAAATGTTTTAACCATTAAACTATATTTAAATTGACACACCAGGACGAATGAATTGATATTAGAACTCCAATGACTAAGCTAGAGCATGGCTGATTTATTTCTCGAACAAGCGCACATAGCTAATTATGACAAATAATTTATTTTATTTTTTTTAGTACAACATTACACTCTATTGATTGGAGATTTATGCCAATTATGGTCGAATTATGCGACAAACAATTGGATTTAATGTCTAATTTTGTAAAGAATATAATAGATTTCAAATGATTAATAAGAAACCACGAGTTGAAATGAGCTAAAAAGAATAATGTCAACAAAATAATGTCAAAATTTTATTTTATTTATTTGTTGAGTAAGTTGTCAACTTTTTATTGCCGTCGTTGTTGACAACATACTTTTGTATTGAAATACTTTGTATCTTTTTGTTATTTGGGCTAAAAGGCAGAACGAAACGAGAGCCCAAGGCCCATTGATGGACCTGTTAAAAGCCCAAAAACCGAGCCATATGAAACATGGTTTCTTTCTTAAGCATGAATTGAGTTTCGTTCGTCATCTAATAACAACCGGATATATATATATATATATATATATATATAAAATTAATACATTCTCAATAATAAATTTTAAAATTACTTCCTTAAATGAAAAAATGTTCAATAATTGACCAATAAATCATATAAAGTTAAGCCAACACAAGTAGGTAAAGAAAAGTATTTAAACTTAATAATAAATAATCCTTAGGGTAATATTTTTGTTTCTTTTTTTTTTTCAATAAACAATAAACAGTTACTGGTATATGCAATTTTATTTTTATTTATTAAAAAAAACGAGATGCAAACAAAAAACATAAATGTCTCTTTTCGAAAAAACGAAAAACATAAATATCAGAGTATAACTTAACAATTCTAAAATGAAACATATGATTAGAAAAACAATAAATACGTACCAGTATAATTTTGTCATCCAACAAAAATATTTATAGCCAATACATTTATGTCAATTTAAGAATTTATTTAAGTCTAAACTTCGAAGCGACGAAATTAAGAGTTTACAAAAGTTAAATTTTACTTTATGGGAGTTATTTGAATGGAAAAATGTGTAATTCTAATATTTAAATCAGGCTGCCAATACGAGTCTATAAAGATTTGTAGCGTCTGTTTGGTTGGAAAGTCAGATTTTGTATTTTGTTTTCAGTTTCACTGCTTGGCAGTATTTTGGATTCGATTCTGTGATCCAAATAATAGAAAGTCTGAAAACGACTTTTTAATGTTTTTAGTGTTTTCAGATTTAGAATTTGAAATTTTTAAGATGCAGAATAACATTAAAATGACAAAATTACAAAAATTTTGATAAATATATTACTTCATATTATAAATTCATTTTATGTATTTTAAAATTAAAACATAAATGTATTCTAAATTATATAACATTTGTAAAATAATAATTATACAAATTTCATGAAAATGTTAATTAATTAATATAAATTTGGATTAAACTACTTATAGTTTACAAATATATCACTAAACAAATAATTTTTTAAATTGAGATTTAATTACCAAATCTAAAAAGCTAAGAATAGAACTCTAGTTTTGGTTGAATATTTTATTTTCAAATTTCAGTTTTCTCATTCATATCTTTCTTAATTTGTAGGGTATAAAGAACCGATCCGATTGAAAATCTGATGCAACTCGAAACCGGTCTAGTTCGACAATAGTTCGGTTCGATGTACGGTCGGTTTTCAGTTCTGACCCAGTAAAACCTGGGCTAAACAAAACCCTACCCTGTCGAATATAGTCTGAACGGTGGGATTCTTCCGAACGACGACGTAGAGTTTCTCTCTCTCCGCCGCAGGTGGCAGCAAGCAGACGCTCTCTCTCTTTCTCTCTCTCGGCAGTCGTCGGCGACCAGCAGAAGGCGGCAATCGGTGGGTATATCGACATTGTTGGCGATCGCTCGTACCTCAAGAAGGTTGAATTCTATTGCTTGCTTGTTTTCTTGGCTTGGTTTTTCAGAAGAGAAAAGAAACCTGAAGAAACAATCTCGATCCAATCTACGAACATTCCATATTTGGCTACTATTGTGCCAAATTTCTGTGCGGAAACGAACCGGTTCGAGCGAATCAAGTCGGTTATATATCAGGGTCGGGTTAATCCATTGTTCTTCGTCTGCCTCTCGATCAATTGGTGCCCTGCTACGCCTTCCTCCATCTCCATCGGAATTCTACACGGCGAGAGCCAACTTTTATTTTCCTCTCCTTTTTCCTTCTGTTTCCCTGCTCTGTAGACTCACCCTTTTGCATTGAAATCTGAGGTTGTGGTTGTGGTTGTGGCAGAGCTCCAGGTACGTCTAATTTTCCAGTTCCTCTGTTCTTTAAGAGGGACCGAAATCTTGGTATCTATTCGAAGCATTCGAAGAACCAAACAACGATTTATTATAAAAATCAGTTACATGCTCGCACAGGTCTTTGACATTTCTACCGAAGTAGTGATACGGTTCGATTCTTGATTATCGACCAACTGAACTGTGTCAGCCCTTCTCGTGTGGTAATGCGAGCATTGTTCTTGGCCACTCTGAAGAGCAGAAAAACATAAGAGGAGATCATCCATAAGTTCGAGGTGAGTTTGCCTTGTTAGTGAGAAAATCAATCGCATTATAATTCCCTAAAACATGTTCATCATCTCGGCATGCTGTACATCTCATAGTCAAGCTATTGTTGAACTCTGCTACCTTTTACGGTGTTCTGCTATCTGGGTGTTGGTTTTTTCTTTTCCCGTAAGTGTCTAATTTTCTTCTTGACTGCTATCTTCCAAATGATGCAGTTTCACCTGGGTCCATTTTAATGTTTAACTATTTTCTCTTTATTGACGGCGAATTTCATATCTGAATGTAGCAATTCTTGTTTTATTTTATCATTTTGTGAATTATGAATCACTCTTTCATATTCACAAATTGGGCTTTTGCATTCCGATTTCTACTTGCTTGGTTTTTAAAATATTTTCTCAATGGTTTTAGGTTTTAGAATAGTTTATCTTCCGGAGAGTTCGTTTGTTTATTTTTTTTGCTTCCTTGATATTTGAGACCAAAGGGCTGCCTTTGGCTTCTGCTTCAAAATTTAAGAATCTTGTTTTTCCTGATATGCAGGTAGCAGTACTCAGATACTTATGAATGGCTTGGAGAGAGCTGGGGAAAAAGGTGAGCTCATGTTCCTAACAATCATGTATCTAACTGAATGTTCTATTTCGTTTTTATTTATTATGAGATCGGAGAATGCGTCCTTAGTTTAAATTTTGTAATGTGTTTAATGACTTCAACCTAGATCACCAATAGCTCAAAAAAAAAAAAAAACAAGAAAAAACTTCTTGCATTTTTCAACAGCTAGTCTCAATCATATATTCATTGCTTTACATGTAGTATGGCCTTATCCTTCAATTTATGTTGTGTGAGTTTCATCGGACATAGGGATAATTAAATGCATGTAGGTATTGGCTCCTTCACTTGTTCAAAATTCAAGGGTTCCTCTACCTTTGTTATCTTGTCCCGTGGTCTACTCTGATTCTTCGCCTTTCTATGCGTCGACATGTACAAGTACTGAATTTATAGGGTGTGAGCGGGTTGTATTTGGCCAAATTGGGTAAACCAATGCCCACTCAGCAACACCTTTTTAGCATTTGTAGCCTTGCATCCTCTTTTTGGAACCTCATCCACATCACATTCAATTGGTCCGCAGTTTTACCTACCGACCCCAAAGCTCTCCTACACTTCACTCTTGAGGGACACCCCTTCCGCTAAGAAAAGGAGCTTCTTTGGAAGAATTTTTCAGAGCTTTCTTTTGGACTACTTGACTTGAGAGGAGTCACAGAATGTTTAAAGACAAGGGGCGCACGTTTCCTTCGTTTTTTTATGATATAGTCATGCTAGTTATATCATGGTGTAAATGCTCCCCCTCTTCCATTATTATAGTTTATCGAATCTCTTTTATCCAATTGAAGACTTATTTTGTAACTCCTTTGGATGAGGTCTCTCCTCCTATTTTTGTAATTTCATACCATCAATGAAATTTTTTCTTATAAAAAAAAATAATGGTATATGAAATCAGACTGACTCACAGAACCTTAATCCTTCTAGGTTATTCACAGATTTTGAATTGGTAGAAAATATAGCTGATCTCGTACTATAAGGTGCTTGTTTCTTGTGAAAATTGTTTACCTGAATTACAATTTTTTCTCATTCAGGGAATGCATGCTGGTTTTCGAAGAACACTTACTTGTTCACGAAGGCATTTAGCCAGGCCAAATTTCATTACTACTGATGAGGTTGTTGTTAAGTTAATCCCTGCTTTAGTAAGATGCACTCAAGGTAACACCTTAATTGAAGACATTTTTTGCCTTACTTTATATGGAGCTTGTGAATTTAATTCAATAATCGTGCTTAAGTGACCATTTGAATTTCAAATTTTGGTACAGAATTCCCTTGTGGTTCGACATATCATGGGTCTGATTATTATATGGCTTCTACAGTAGAACCTTGCAGACGGTAACCCAACCATTTTATTACATTACCTTTCCGTTGTTTAGTAACAACACCTACTTGATGCTCCTATTTTTATCCCTTATCAGTTTTGAATAAGTTTCCAATGTAATTCTGCACCGTGAAATATTGACCATTTATAGGGAGAGGATGCTTATATAGATTCATGCATATGCACTTAAAATAAAGATATTTAAACTGGTGGTTTGCAGTGCAACTTATGGTTCTTTTTTTTTTTGGAAAAAAAAATGTTTAGGTATTTACATTCAAGTACTGAATTACTAGCTAGGAGAGGACATGATCAGGAATTTGGTTTGAAGACTCCAAAGAAAGAAAAGTTTGTAAGAAGGGATGGCCGGAATCAGCCACCAGTTGAAGCTCCATATGTTCCTCCAAAACCAAAGAGCACCGTTGGATCTGTTCCAGATAAAACAATTGAGATATTTGATGGCATGACAATTGTCGAGCTTGCTAAACGTACTGGCAAGTCAATATCCAGACTGCAGGATATTCTCGTAAATGTTGGTGAAAAGATCAACTCAGAGTTTGATCCTCTCAGCATTGACATTGCAGAGCTGGTTGCCATGGTAGGTCTGTTTTAATAGATAATAATTGTATGCTTCGAAATATCCAATTGGCTTAAGCATGTGTCTAGACATCTTGGTCAAAAACTTTTGGCCTTGGAATTAATAAGAATTAGTAACCGGTATTAATATGAATCTCTTTTAATTATATACATTGTTATAAGTGGTCGGTTAATTTTTGTTCTATAAGTGAAGGTCGCTCTCACAATATTATCATGGTGTATGATGTGGGGAAATTGTGTAATTAACAACTATTCTCAGACAGTCTGGCTAATCATCACCTGTTTGTTTTGTGTGGTGTGTGGCTGGGGTGGTAAGTAGGTCCTATTGATTCTGAACGTACTGATACAAATATGATTTTCTGACTCAAATCAATATCATGCAATACAGAAAATAAGATAGACAGAAGACTTAAAATTTCTCAAAAAAAAAAAAAAATCATAAAAATATTGTAAATTGTAAATCATTTAAGTTTACATATTATAAAGGGTTAAATTATAACACCAAAAGTAGATCTCTTTAATATTCCACGTGAGAACTAAGATAGCAACATATTGTGGTTACTCTTCATTGTCAAGCATCTAATTAAACATGATATATTATGAGTCACCCACAATTATAGTTTATACACCTCGAGTCACCACCAATATAGTCCAAGTTAGTCCATGTTATTAATTTTTTCAGTTTTCTCCATACTGTCATTTTTTGGATATATATAACATGGATGGGTTTTTGAACTATGCACTTGGACTCTTTTGTTTCTTGTGATGAAAAGTTCCTTTCTTTTTTTGGGTGAAAATCTTCATTGCTCGTGTGTTTTTCACCCTTTTCCTTTCCTTTTTTCGGGCTAGGAAGCTTATTCAGTAGTAGTGTTTGGAAGTATATGGTTACAGATTATTTCATCCTTTCAGGAAGTTGGAGTAAACATTAAGAGATTACACTCTAGTGAAGGTTCTCAAATTCAACCACGGCCACCAGTTATTACAGTCATGGGTCATGTTGATCATGGAAAAACTTCTCTTTTAGATGCACTTCGCCAGACATCAGTGGCAGCTAGAGAAGCTGGGGGTATAACTCAGCACCTGGGTGCATTTGTTGTGGGCATGGCTTCAGGTGCTTCAATCACTTTCCTCGACACTCCAGGGCATGCTGCATTTAGTGCTATGCGAGCAAGAGGTGCAGCAGTTACCGATATAGTTGTCCTGGTAGTGGCTGCTGATGATGGGGTGATGCCTCAAACTCTGGAAGCTATGGCACATGCTAAAGCAGCAAACGTGCCCATCGTGCTTGCAATTAATAAATGTGACAAGCCTGCTGCTGATCCCGAGAGAGTCAAACTGCAGCTTGCTTCAGAGGGCTTGCTGCTTGAGGAGATGGGAGGAGATGTTCAAGTTGTTCACGTGTCTGCACTGAAGAAAACAGGATTGGATACCTTGGAGGAAGCACTGCTTCTCCAGGCTGAAATGATGGATTTGAAAGCTCGTATTGACGGACCAGCCCAAGCTTATGTAGTGGAGGCAAGGCTTGACAAGGGTAGAGGTCCTTTGGCTACTACTATAGTGAAGGCAGGGACCTTAGAAAGTGGTCAGTTTGTGGTTGTGGGCTGTGAGTGGGGCAGAATTAGGGCTATTAGGGATATGTTGGGGAATTTGACGGACCGAGCAGGGCCTGCAATGCCTGTTGAGATTGAAGGGTTGAGGGGGCTTCCTATGGCAGGTGATGATATTATTGTTGTAGAGTCTGAGGAGCGTGCACGAATGCTCAGTGCAGGGAGGAAAAGGAAATTTGAGAAGGACAGGTTGAAGAAGCTGAGTGAGGGGAAAACTGAAACTGAAGAGCAATCTGAGGAGGTAATTCAGAGGGTTGAATTACCGATAATAGTAAAAGCTGACGTTCAGGGCACCGTGCAAGCAGTTACAGATGCATTGAAGACTTTAAATAGTCCTCAGGTATACCTCTCTCTCGCTCTCTCATGGTTTTTCAATTTGTGCTCTTTCAATAGCTGTCTGTCTGCAATTATAATAATAACTTTCGTTTCTGGTTCATACGGTAGTTCTTTATTGATCTGTTAAACAATCCCTATCCTTAGCAAAATAATAATAATAATAATAATAATAAATAAACAATCTCTATCTGGTTTATCCAATGTACTGAACTTTATTATTACTTATTTCTTTATCCATTCATTGTGATAGATAAACTCAATCTAGAATCTTTGATGACCAGTTTGGGTTATTACTTTAAATCACTGCTTATAGTTTGACTTGCAACCTACTTTTAGTCATTAACTTCAATCTTGTCCGTACCGCCCGAAACAATCAATGCTACTTTATAGAATTATTGGAGTGGTTATCTTATACATGGTTGGTTGTCTCATTTTCCAGTCTTCTATGTACTTGAGCAGTTCTCCATAATGTTTCCCATTTCACATCCAGGTTTTTGTAAATGTTGTCCATGTTGGCGTTGGCCCAGTTTCCCAGTCTGATGTGGACTTGGCTCAAGCATGTGGAGCATATATAGTTGGATTTAATGTGAAGAATCCCCCAAGTAATCTCAGTCAGACAGCTACTCAAGCTGGTATAAAGGTATAGGCTAGCTACCTTTCAATCTTACTATCCCCCATGAAATATTGTTCACGTCATCTTCTAAACCAATAAGAAACAATGAGTAGTTGGTTACTGTTGCACATGTTATATGTACATATATATCGAAAAAGAAAGACTGAAAGGCGTACTAAGTTTGGTTTTTCTTCAATGGTATAGATAATTCTACATCGTGTAATCTATCGTCTTTTGGAGGACATTGGGAATCTGATTGTTGACAAGGCACCAGGAACTTCCGAGACGCAGGTTGCTGGGGAGGCCGAGGTGCTGAACATTTTTGAGCTCAAAGGAAGAAGCAAGTCAAAGGGACCCGATGTTAAGATTGCTGGATGTCGGGTGATTGATGGTTGTGTTTCAAGAGCATCGACCATGAGGCTTCTACGAAGCGGGGAAGTTTTGTTCGAAGGATCATGTGCATCTCTCAAGAGGGAGAAACAAGATGTTGATGCCGTGAAGAAAGGAAGCGAGTGTGGACTCGTGATACACGACTGGGATGATTTTCAGGTTGGAGACGTCGTGCAGTGCTTGGAGCAAGTAGTAAGGAAGCCGAAGTTCATTTCATCCGAGAGCGGTGCCGTTAGAATCGAGTGCTGAAGAAAGGGTCAGTAAAATTCATTCTACATGCACTCATTTTAGAGACTTTATATCCATTGGCTGGTCCTATATGATCTGCCACAGTCCAGATATATAGTTTCAAATTTTCTTCAGCATATTTAAGGATAGTAAATTTTGGGAGTGGAAAGAATCTCCATGAGTTGTGACAGATAACCTATGATGTAGAATTGAGGAAGACAATTGATTATTGTACCAACCAAAAGAGAAAAAAACAAATTTTGTTAACTAATAATGTCAATGTGACGACAGGAAAAGCATATTTGAAAACATAGTTATTGTATGTGATGGGTGTTTGTTATTCTGCAACTATGGCTGTGGTTTCATTTTATGATGTTTAGTAGTGATGTGAATTAAATTAGACCTTGTGAGGAAAAGGGGAGACTTCTCTTATAGAAGAGTTTAGTTAAAAAAAAAAAAAAATTTAATTTCTTGTATAAAAACAAAATATATTTTAATAACTGCATTTTCTTGTTTTTCTTTAATGTGTTTCTTCCTTTCTATAAATTAAGTACCGCAGAATTTCTCCTTTTTGATTCATTTCTTTAGTTTGACGGACCTACTTTTATACGTTGCATCTACGTAACCACGATTTTATGATCAATTTAATATTATATTTTAATATTTTCAAAAGTTTCATATTATGGTAGGGTCACAAAAGATGGTGCTGTCATGTGAAATTGAATACGTCTCTTATCAAAGATGCAACATTTATTTTTCTTTTTCAAGGGTATTATAGCAAAATCAACTAAAGACACACTTCCTTTTAAAAAAATTTCATATTTTACTCTAAAATAGGGTACTTTTTGGTCTCTTGTGAATTTTAAATAACATTATATGACGAGTCAAAATTTCATTTTGAAGTATCATACGATACACTTTGACAAAATACTTTTTTTTAGTATTACGGCTATATATGAGTATCGTAAGTTCAATCAATTAATTAATCTGATAAATAATTATAAGATAAAAACGGTTACAAGTGTGGTTCCTTCAAAACGGCGCCGTTAAATGGACATTCCAAAAATGTAGACACCTGAAACAGAAACAGCTGACGAATTAAATTTTAGATAATAATTTAAAAAAAAAAAAATGTAAAGAAAAAAAAGGAGAGAATTTTAATCGGCGATTAGACGAGTAGGCGACCTTTCACTGCCTCGACGAGTCCGTCACGATTTTTTCTTTGACCCTTTATTTCGATTTTTTAAATAAAATCAAAAACACTTTTTTTTTTAATTTATTTTTGGTTGTTGGGTTTAAGTTATTTATCTGCTTCTTTCTTTCTTGGTCTTCTACTTCGAACAGCAGCCTCCATCTCTGACCTCGACGCCTCCGTCCATTTCTCGCTCGTTGCTTTTCCTTCTGCTCTCCATCACCAGGCTGCCATGGAAGCTTCGCCGGCTCTTTCTCGCATAGGCCTCGCCGGCTTGGCCGTGATGGGCCAAAACCTCGCTCTCAACATCGCCGACAAAGGCTTCCCAATTTCCGTCTACAATCGCACCACTTCCAAGGTCGACGAGACTGTAGATCGCGCCAACAACGAAGGTAA